ATACCTCCAACGACTGCGGGACCTGGACCTGTTCTCCCTGGCCCGCAGACGCATGCGAGGGGACCTTATAGAGACATTTAAAATTGTCAAAGGGCTTTCGGGTCTAAGGTTCCCAAACGTATTCTCTTTTGTTCCTGCCAGGGCATGAGGGGCCATCAACTCAGATTGGAAGGAAGTCACTGTAGTCTAAATTTGCGAGCTAGGTTCTTCACAAACAGAGTTATACCACTGTGGAATAAACTACCTGAAGCAGTGGTTAATTGTATTAACGCATATCTTTCAAGAGAAGGCTAGATGAATGCTGGGCAGTGGTATTCCCTGAAGTTGAGTGTTGTCTTTCAAGAGGAAAGCTGGATGAATGCTGGGCAGTGGAATTCCCTGAAGTTGAGTGTTGAAAATTAATCGTTAGGCTTTACTTTACGAAATACTATAAGGGAGGCTAGATGAATGCTGGGCAGTGGTATTCCCTGAAGTTGAGTGTTGAAAGTTAATCGTTAGGCTTACTTTCCGAAATAATATTAAGGGAATCTGATTCTGCACACTAACATTCTGCCGTTCAGAAACTACTATTGACTCGAAGTGTTGGAAGCCGACGAAACGCCGACAACACAAAGAACTGGACGCGCGATTGGCAAGAGCCACAATTCGTCCTGGGAGAACTGAACTGAACTCCTCACATCGTGAAATTTGAACTGGACGACCTGTTTACATGGTGAAAACTCGCGGTTATTCAAACTTTTTTCCTTCATGTCTTTTGTGAAATTAAAAACACATCTATATAATCGTTTAACAAAGAAAGAATTTGAGCATGATATGATAATAAAATCGAAATGAACAAATAACTTTTCAATTGATCACATATATAGACCTTGATGACCATCGAGTATATATATATATGTATACATATATATATATATATATATATGTATATTCAAACACCTCTATACATATTTTCGATGCATTTCTATATATTTTATAAAATAAATAGTCAATACATGACTATTATTTTGAATTATTGATGTTAGCTTTCATGTTAGTTAGCATAAATGTTTATGAATAAACATTTATAAACTAATTTATAAGTTAAATTATTATTGTGCCGATTATTAATATTATTTTCATCATATTACATATTATCAAAGTTCGCTGATGATGTGAACTTAGCAGATGAAGGGTCGGAACAATTGTTCCAACCCTAGGGCTACATCTGAGCTACAAATGAGCTAAAGCGCCAAAAGTGTAGCGCAGCTGTAGCCCAATAATCAACCAATAGCGCTCCAAAAGCCGGCTACATTTCAACTACATTGCAGAACATCTCGTGTATAGTGTTCCGCCTTGTCCCGTACGGTACAGGGGGGTCAGAGATGTCTCTGACGCTCTGTTAACCTTAAATTTTCACATGAATTTACTATCTCGCCATGGAGTTCAGCACATTTTGCGTACTGATTACAGCGCATCTAATTAATGAATTGAGACACCAAAAAGAAGAGTTACTTGATGAAGTTGATAATTGAAGTGAGTCTTTAAACCGAAGACAGTTATGATAAATGCGTTTCGAATGTTACTTTAGTTCACTTTCAGTTTATTCAACCAGTAACTATGCGCCTTCGTGCGGCGGTTTGGGTTGCTGTCTTTTGGCTGCCCTTTGGATGAACAGTGGGAGAAATACAGGAGAGTTGAAAGGAGAATCAAAGAGAGAGGTGCGTTTTGCATCTTCAAAGTGTAAAATGCTACTACAATAGTGGTTTGATCCAGTACCCAGCCTCATTCTATCCGGGGAACTAATAGAACAAGTGAATGCGTTTTTTATTTGAGCAGCTACAGCTCATCCGGTGGACGCATCATGGATGAAGTTTCAGCTCGCATACAGAAGGCTCCGTTGGCATTTATTAACTTAAGACATCTGTAGCGCCTTCGAGACATTCGATTGTCTGTGAATGCTCGAGTGTATACTGCAACAGTTCAGTCAATTATACTAAATCGCGCCGAAACTTGGCTATTAGGAAAACAGGATAAACTGTAGGTGTTTGAACACCGCTGTCTACGCAGCATTGCAGGAATCTAGTGGGGCGGCCAAACGAGCATTACTGAGGTAAAGCACAGAGTTTTGGGTAACCGCGGCCTTCCACTGGAGCAAATAGTCGGCCTCCATAGATTACGCTGGTTGGGGCATGTGCTTCGCATGTCCCTAAATGGGGTGTCACGGCGAGCGATGTTTGCTGAGGCAGGTAGTGGGTGGAAAAAAGCAGGGGTGGTCCACCTAGGACCTGACAAGAGGGTATGAAATCCCTAACCAGGGTACTGGGTCACATAGGTACCGTTGGGCCCCCTGGCTGGGGTCTTCGGGATGGTCGTAACTGATAGTTAGAGACACTGAGTGATATGGTTGGGTGTCGTAAAGAGTGGTACTCGTGCATCTCAATTTATTTGCAATAATAAATGTTAATTACTGTTTGATAACAAATGCAGCTGATGTAGCTCATAACTAGCTCTTCGTGGCCGGTCAACGCGTTACATTGTGCCACCTGAGTGGCACGGGACGCTAGTAGCGCAATAAGTTAACGAGGCACCCCACGGAGGTCATCTTTTTTTATTTCAGCAAAGCCTTTGACAAAGTCCACCATGATCGTTTATTAAAAATGAGGACCCTTGGTATCGGGTCATGACACGTGGGATAGACACCCCGTCCGGGGGCTCGGGATGATCGTAACCGATGGTTGGAGACACTAAGTGATATGACTGGGTGGCGTAAAGAGTGGTGTTCGTGCATCACCTCAATTTCTTGGCAACCACAGTTTACTTTGAGTCTTGCTGCCTTTCTCCTACTCCTTCATCCAAATGGGTAACCAAAAGACAACAACCAAAACCGCTGCACGAATGTACATGGTTAATGGTTGTTCAACCTGAACCTGCCCATCCAAGTGACACGACAAAGAGGACAGGTTCTGCAGTGGAGACAGTTAGATTTGAACACGCCATGTCCGATGTGATATTTATGATTTTGAAAATGACTCAGAGGAGGATGACGAAGTTTCTCACTTGTGGGCTTATCGATACCAATGTTTTGCCTATTCTTGGGTTTGAGTCAGATGATGAGATTGTAACGGTATGGATATTTTAGCATTACTAATGATGCAACAAAAATTTTGATATAGTTCGCTTAGACAACTGTATAATGTTTGTTTCTTGAAATCGGTGTTTACCAATGTGTGCTAATTGTATATGATATTTTTAATTTCATTTGCCAGAACTACGCAAGATGACTCGAGTCTACGATACTGTTGAACCTGCTGTGATTGATAGGGCCATGCTTCAGAATGCAGTTTTCGCTCAAGGACCGCAAGGAGTAGCCGGTACTTATGCGAAGAAAGAAGGCGTACAGTTTGCCACAGTTACCTCCTTGCGGTTGGACTTTCAGAGTAAAAGTGTTCGTAATTATTTTCTTAAACTGTTCTAGATATTCTCAAAATTGACAATTTGTGGGCGTTTGAACACTTGGTCAAACTTCAGTTAGATAATAATATCATTGAAAAAATTGAAGGATTAGATCATTTAATACATCTTCGTTGGCTTGGTTCGATCCATTCTGTTCGGTAAACTTATTCTCGTTTTCTAGATCTATCCTTCAATAATATCGAGAAAATCGAAGGTCTTGATAAACTTGAAAACATTGAAGATTTGACACTGTACAATAATCGCATAGCGCAAATCGAGAACATGGAAAATTTGAAGAAATTGCAAGTTTTTTCCATCGGAAACAATAATCTGACAGAACTAGAGGGTGTAATGGCAATTCCTTTCTCTTATCATCGATTTCTTACATGTTTTAGCTGATTTATTTGCGTCGGTTTCCTTCATTGCAGTCTGTTTGTCTCCGTGGTAATCCATTCTGTGAAGAGCCGGACTATGGTTACTTTCTGCATGCCTTCTTACCACAATTACTCTATGTTGATTACAAACGAACTAAGGAAGATGTGGTAAGTGTTTGATGCGTTTCACAAACTCGAATCAATGGGTCCTGTTTCGTCCGTTTCCGTCCATTTTTGATAATGACATTGAATTTGTTTATTCATGAGCATAGAGGAGGAAAAATCGAATGTTTCCGAGGTTAGTACGCATACACAGTCTTGCAATCTAATTGCCAATCATGGGAGGACTGCACACATAAACCAGTAGCGACTTGAATCCGGAGATATATGAGTGTCAATGAGACCTGTTTCACGTTTAAAACCGCAAAAACAAGTATTGACATGAGTGTGAAAATAGAACGGATTCTACAGGGACAAATCATGCGAGATGGATTAGACAGAAAAACACAAAGAGCGGAAAAAACGAAACCTATTACCTTTTTATTCAAAGTATTTTCTTTTTTGTATTTCTCTCAAAAACTTTAATTTTAATTTCCTTTTGATTCTGCTGTTATCTGGCACCCTGTCGTTTAACAAGCTGTGGTGAGCGATAACCATAATGAAAATCAGGTGTACCAGAACAATGATTGTATCCGATTGATTGAATGAATGTTGACTGTACATTTGTATCTTCCATAATTAAAAGACGAAGTAAAAATACATTTATTTATTTATTTAATACAAAACGCCATAGGAAGGAAATAGTGTGTCCGTTCAGCATGTTTGGTGGAACTGGGGAGGAATAAGAATGTCAGTTGAAATAAATATTTTTTGCTTCAGCGTTCAAAATTCGTTTATTATGAAAGATTGCCTCTGATTTGATTGCCTTACTCCTCAACAAGCTACCATTCAGGGACCTGAAGGTAGGAAGGAGAAGCGGTATGACAGCACCATATTGGCTTTTCTGAAAGCCCTATCCACATTATCAACGTCAGAAAAACGTTCCTGTAAATTGAAAGACCATCTAACATCCACGGCAAACGGACCGAGCCTCGGGTCTACACAGCCGGGAATCCTTATATCAGCCTGTGATTACTGGTGTCCAGACCACTGAAATCAGTTAGGGTAACCTATTCGAAATTTTGGAGATTCACAATTGTGCAAATCCGGATTTGAGCTGATGGATACGCACCACGGGTGATTTATAACGTGAATAAAACATCAATTTCTCGGTTTTCAATGGTTTTCTGATAAGTTCTTCGTTTGTGATCAGCTGATGTAACTATTTTAAGGTATTTTCTTCTGGAGAACTATAAAGCGGTATCGATTGTTATATTTCAGGAGAATAAAAATTGTTCCTCAATGAGAAAAACAGAGCTCTTTTCGTGCTAAAAGCTTAGAGTAAGTATCTATCATAGTTAATTAAGGGCATTTGTTTTCTGAAAGCGACCCCCTAGGGATAGTCTGCCTACTGCCTTTAAGGTACATTCATTCAGGGACACATATGTTAGCAGAAGTAACAATCACCTCTGGTGATTCTGGTAAATCACATGCCAAAACACAGACGTTTCAATGAATCAGATCTGCAACAGTTTTGCTTTAATTGAGTGTATTTCTGTACGCTGATCAATATCCGTATTCGAATTTCCGTTCACTGGAACGGCCAAGGTTGTACGGAAAAATTATTTCAGGTAATCAAAGTAGAATAAAAGCAATGATCAAGGTTATAATCAAAGAATAAAATGCTACAGTGTGTGAGAAGTTCTCTCGAAGACCTTTTCTTTTCGTTGAGAATTTGTGCTGCGGAGTTTTTATTTAAGGATATTTTTCAACAGAATAAGAGAAAATAAAGACAAACTAAAATGATGTTAGAGAGCGAACTTCTGCGAGGTCAACGTACAATGAATCGGTTGAGACTAGAATGAAATCATCGAAAAAATACCACATTTAACAAGCCCCATATGCAATAAACAGTGGTTATAAAGCACAGCTTATGATAACCAAACAACTGCGGATAAATTCAAATCTTTTCGACAAAGGTCTGAAAACAATTGAGAATCATAATACAGAATACTTTGAGAAAGCATACTGAGCCGAATGGCGTCAGGGTGCGAATCTAGAAGGATCAATAATTAAATCTACTATTTAGATGCTGAATGTTTGGATTGAGGCATTTCGCACAGGGTGATAACCGTCGACCGTCTACCTCAAGGGTAAGGATTTGAAGTCCCAGTCCGAAGAATGGCGGTTCGAGTCCTGACAGGGACACAAAAAGTACGCACTGCTAACGAGTCCCAAACAGGACGAAACAGCTATCCAGTGCTCTTTTTTGGTTATCACAAACATTGTCATCGCATTTAAATCTACTATTAACTATTTTATGTGTCTGAGTAGTACTGTTGAATTAGGTTGCGGTAGAGAGTAGAAGTGTTCCAACCAAATACTAAATTTAAAACATCTGAAAAGATTCAGAGATCGTTCAGGTTTGCTCGGAAAATCTAGACTTCGAGTAAGGTCATCTGTAGACGGAATAGTTTCCGGTTGCTGAGGAGCGATCTGTGGTAAAAATTTTATCAATACACTCGAGATAAAGAAAAACGAGATGGAACAGAAAGATCACTTCGGAAAAATTTTGATAAGTATTATTCCCACTGATTTACTGGCAAAGGGCTTTCGTCTATGGACAAAAGTAAAAGGGTGATCGCTTTTCTCTAAGTCGCCATGTACCACTACTTTCGTGCATAGGCATGAAACGCAGTATACGAGGAAGAAAAGCGTGCCGTAATTATTTATGCTGTGCTTCTCACCTTCAGACATGATAATATATAACAATGTACAATTATGTCCCAATTTCCGGTAAACTTTTCAAATGATTTCACAAAAGATGTGAGTTGCACTGAATCAGAATTCACCAATGTCCAGTATTTGTTTGTTTTAAATTACAATTTTAATTGAAATCAAGTCGGTCATAGTATCCACAGCTGTTTATTCACGTTCCATATTTTGCAGAAGAAGGCTGCATATGAGAAGTATCAACTTCGTGTGGATCAATTGAATGCACAAGAACAAGGCGAAAAAGAACAACAAGCAAATGAAGAAGTCCTAAAACTGACCGAGGCGTTGCATCAGCGAGCGTTTGTGGCAGGACTGGACAGTGAGACAATCTTTGACACCTTGTACATCGAAGATCCGGACGGTAGAGAATTGCTAACTGTTCCCGAATTGCTGTACAGCATTGAGCAATATCCTTTTCAATTATGCTACAAATGTTCAAAGGTTTCTTTTGTAAACCAAACTAAATTTCAGCGTATATTGTGCTCAAATTGAATCAGCTATTGAAGCAGACACTTCCTGAGAACAATTTCAAAAGAAAAACCTTAGCGCAATACTGCACAATTTATGTCCAGGACGGTTTAACCGTATCAATCAATTATTGTTTCTCCTTAACTAATATAACTTTTCAACAATCTCACATTCTCTGAAGGCTTCAAACAACAATGCAAAGCTGTGTTCGACGTAGGACTACAAGAGCTTGAGAAGCGTGATGCTGAAGTGAAATGTTTTTGGGACTGCGTTGAACGGGCCAAAAAAATAAACGGACAATGTGGACAAAAGATGATTGACGAATTTAAGCTGTATCAAGCTGAAGTACGTTAACTTCACGAAAAGGATTAGCTCTTGATGTTGTTCCTCATTGATCTCAGACGTTTGTCTGTGAGATATGCACTTTGTTTTCCAGTGTCAAGAACAACATTCAGTTTTCGAATCGATTTAGCATCATATTCTACAGTTTACCAACAATTTATCATGATGATTTTTTCATTCATTTAAAAAAAACAGTTGTTAACTGCAAAACATCAATAGTATATGTTGGGTTCTGTGACTAGATGTACGAATGACACGAACGATTCTTACTCAACTCCCAACGATAACGCGGAGAGAGGACAACTTGAGACAACAGCCAGTGTGTATTCTTTGATTAGACAGATATCGATACTATAGTATTTGGAATAGTATTTAAAATGGGATTCCAGAATTCGCGCAATACCAAT